TAGTATAATGATAATAATATATATATATATATATATATATATATATATATATATATATATATATACGCTTAAGATTATAACCATGCGAAATTCCGCACATGAAACTGTACGGTACTTATGAAATAATTCCATGGAATTTCCACGTGTCGCCTTGCTGACTTTTATCCGGTAGGACGATTCATGTTTTATTGATCCTGTTTACGGGGCACTGCGTAACGGCAAGCAGATCCATTTTCATTGTTACGAGATCGATCGAGTCAATGGCGACAATATTTTTCATATCGACACTCGTCTTTTTCTTACCGACGAGATTTACAATCGCGCGATGAATTTCTAATGGTAAATTTATAAATACGTAAATATACCGCAAATCGCACTCACCGACATCCACTATGTGCTGAAGGGTAGGAAAGCGTCGCTTCACGCGAAGCGATATTCGCTGAAGTGTTATGACGTATGCGAGGACCGCGTATCGCACGATGTTCCTCCTCATCAGGCGGCCTCTTTCGTCCTGAAAACGAACGATTAACAAGATATTGAAGCGATATAGAAATCGAAGCTGTCGAAGTTTAACCGTTTCACGTGCCAGCCTAATGCCCTGGCTACGTTGATACGAGAAGCCCCTTCCCAGAGCTTAAAAAAAAAGTTGGGTCACTTTGTATTCCGACAATGAACACCAGACTCAGCATTGACCTCGGCATCTCTGCGATCGCTCACTCGATCCAGACATTTCTCTTATGTAAACGCGCCCGTGCTCGGATCGCGGGGACGACGCTCACTTTTTACGAAGTTCACTCTCTTTTCGCAACGCTTCTTCTCTCACGCGTATCACGCACCTCGGCGCGTGGCTAGTCTTCTTTTTGGGCTCCTACACGTGTCAAAGTCACGTCCGTGACTTTCGGTAAGAACTCGCGTGCGATTTGCCCGAATTTTCTTATATGAAATTCATGCAATTTATCCGGACATTTACTGTATGATTTTGAAAAAAAAAAAATGAAAAATAAAAAAATTTTATTATTTGCAATTATTATCTCGGTACGTTCGCTTCCCTTGGTCGGTTCCGAGAATCAAAATCAGTCTCGTTAAAGGCGCCTTTCGCGTCAACGACTCGCTTAACGGTCCCGATCACGAGCGGCATACGAAAGGTACGAGAAGATTCGCCGTGCCAGAGTAGCGTTACACGCGTGTCAAAATTCGCCCGAGGGAACGGGAACGCATGCGGAACACGTTTGAAGGAGCAGGCGCGTGCACTTTCCCTGTCTTGACTTCTGTTCGTTGCTCTTGAGAACGTGCGTCAGGGCCCACGAGGGACCGAGAATTTTGTAAGCAGCTGTAGCGACACGGGTGTTTCTATGTCGTCGACGTTGTGAGGTAAGAGAGCGGCAGGTCGTGTGTGATCCTACTACGGAATATCGATCCAGGTGAAGAAATACAATAAAGAAAACCCTTATTGGCAATCGACAAAGAAATTAGGCAATTATAAAAGAATTTTCAAAATCGATATAAGATTTGCAAAATATTTCGCTTGGATTCGAAAAAATTTTTCTAACAATTACTTCGTCTTTCATTAATCAAAAGTACCTTGCGACGTGTCAGTCACGTTGCCATGCGTACAGCATGTATAACCGAGCGGCTTGGCACTGTATTTAGTAAATTCTTTCAGGCTTAACCTATGGAGAAAAAGAGGATGGTAAACCATCCCCGACCTAGAGTCTGCATTTCAATTAGATTTCAATGAAAGGAACGACCCGTTCGCTCGTGCTGCCCACGACACCCATTCACAAATCAGATACTTTGAATTATTGATGACCGGATGGCTCCCGTGGCTCTATACACACGCTGCCCTCTCAAGAGGCTAAAGACCTTGACGACATAAATTTTCTCCAAAAATCTATATGTCGTCCGGTTCCCAATTGAGACTAACCATTAAAATACCGTACGAGAGTGCGACGTGAAACTCTTGTTGCATTGCGCAATAGATATATTAAATTATTTAGAAGATAAAACTCTCGCCAAGGCTCTTGGCGTTCTCGAAAAAAGAAAATCAGCAACACGAATGTACTCTCTATCTAGTCGTCTACCCCCCTACTTTCACTCCGCCATTGTGTTACCGACCAACAGTTTCGAGAGCTTTGGTTCCACGGAACAAGCTCACGTGATTTCCGGGCAGAATGAGTAGAGGAAATTAATTTTTTTTTTTTAATAAAAATTCACAGTGAACCATGTTTTTTTTTTTTTTTTTTTTTTTTTTTTTTATAAAAAAGAAAAATACATGGACCCAATGACGAAGATGAAGGTAGATGCATAGTAGAAAAAATGTATGCCAAGGATCACTCTATGGTGGTATCTAATTGTTTTTTTTTTTTAAAAAAAAAAAAAAGGAAACTTTTTTTTTTTTTTTTTTTTTTTTTTTTTTTATAAAAAAGAAAAATACATGGACCCAATGACGAAGATGAAGGTAGATGCATAGTAGAAAAAATGTATGCCAAGGATCACTCTATGGTGGTATCTAATTGTAAGGTAAACCCGATACGTTTATCAACCGTTATTAAATCCTCTTCTGTTATACTTTGAGAATCGTTATTTTACCAGCTTCTATTTTCTTTCGTCTTTTGATTTTTCCTCTTTACTGGGCGCGGCTTCGTAGGCATCCTTAGCCGGGAGTTTAACGACACCGAAATATGTCACGGCGATTCGTTAGCGTAATGAGTAGTGCAGTGCGACCGATTAGCAAGGTCGTATCTATTAACAGAGGATTCCGCGGGCCACGGGGCTATTGTTACTATTTACCATGAGTCGTTCATAGAGGCCAGGAACGTCCCTGAATTATCCAAAAGGGACTTGTCGAGGTTGCTGTGCGTGCTCGACTGTCGGCTTTAATTACCAGTGGGATTATTTTCACTGTGCCGTACGAGTTTGTCGTATCGCGTGTAATCGCAACGCGAATCGTCTTTGCCATAACGAGTGAACTCTTACGTTTCCAGGAATGGCAGCGCTGATGAAGAGTGCCAGGTTGTCGGGCCAGGGTAGAAGCTTGTACTGCTCCCACCAACGTTTCACAACGAGACTCACGTAGAATCCAAGAACAAAGGACATCGGTATGGACTCGCTCGAATTTCCAAAATAGTAGCGGATCCTTTCAAATATTCTGTAACACAAAATTTGACACTTTCAATTATACGTGGACGTGGTAGGCGATTAATTTAAAAAAAAAATTTAATTTTTTTTTATAAACGAAATTATACAGTGCTTATCCCTTAATGAGAACTTTATGGACATAGCACCTTTATGGCTCAGTCATAAGTGGAGCAAGGTTGAGGTAATACCGATTCACGTACAGCTACCGGTTTTATGATTGATCGATACCTCATGGCGATTTCCATGGTCGAATCGTTAAAAAAATTGGTTGTTAATATTATTATAAAATTTCAAAACTCTTATCAAAATTTCGTACTTTCCTCGTACAGCACGTTAGTCTTCATCTCTTTCATGACTGCGTCTATGATAACTTTCGGCAGAAGTCAACCCGACGCTATTATACTGGACCCCGCTAAGTTTCTCTACTTTTACGTGGCGCGTGTTTCGAAATTTTTTTCAAAATATATAGCTTCGCCACAAATGAAAGTCCAGACCGGTAACCACTTCTTTGACACCGTTACGCTCATTACAGCTAATTCTTAGGTATTTGCCTACATATGACGGTACACGATTGAATATGGAGATTAGATATATAAATATCTAAGGGACGTAACCTAGAATACACGTCTTCGTTGAAAGTAGCATATATTAGAATTAGTGACAAATTTTGCAAAAAAAAAAAAAAAAAAAAATTAAACCACACTATTTTTCAATATATCATGTAGTACCTAATCCAACTATTCGTCAAGACTGGCAAAAATATCACTGACAAGTTCAAAAACTTTCCCAGTATTATCCTGCTGCACTTGGATGCATCGCGGGTGGGACTGTCGCTTACTGCAATGCAATCCAACAAGACTTTCCCGTGGTTAACGTAAAATGCATTGGCGAAACGTGACAAAAATATGACAAACGGACGTCAGTCTGAAATGGTTTGTCAAAGGTTCGTCTGGCATATTTATTTTAATATTTCAGACATCGAAAATAACATATAAGACACAAACACCAAAGATCTATAGCCATGCCCATACTTATGCCATATCTTATAAATCAGACCTAAGGTCCTAAAGTTTAGCTTGGTTGTGTCGGGACGATTTAAAGCAGACTTTTGTTTTTTAACTCTGCAGCCACCCATCAGGATCTTAGCTGTTCGCATCGCGTATACTTTCTTTCCAGCTCCTCTTCTCCTCCATCTCAGTCCTTCTTTTCTACTCGACATAAATAACAGGTTATCTTCTTATACTTTTTTTCCCCTCTCCTTCCTCAGCACCCACGAGACTCGCACCTTCTACAACGCATTCGGATGAACTCCACCTTTTCTGTCCCGTTCACGAGGGCCAAGTAATTGACTTTGGGTTCAACCACCCGTACATATTATCGACTATCTTTTTTTTTCATTCTCTCTCCCACGTGTCATCCATCTATACCAAAAATCCTCAATCCAGTAACCGAACGCCGATATCATATCGATTTGACGATCAAGCGTAGCCGGTAACAGTATTCTAACAATAATCCTGATATAACGGGTTCCATAAGAAATCGAGGATACCAAAAGGATGTACGTGGAGTCTTTTATCATTAGTGACATCAAAGACCGTTTTACTTATATCGATATAATAACGCGCTATTATATCGACAAAAGCATACATTATCCGTGTCTAATTTCTTTCCTATCAGACTGTGTATTGCGCTTGCTTCTTTACATTTCTAATTTGTACTTAAAAATCTTCTTATTCATGTTTGACTGGCACGAAGCTCTACGTATACGTACACTTGATTCTCCAGGCTTCCTAAACACAATATATATATACATACAATACATATATTGTATATGCATACGTAACGAGTAACCATACGAGTAAGTTTTCGAATTCCGGGAAATTATTAATTTCCTCGATTACTTATTAACCCATCGAACGTATTTAACTGCTAATGGGATATTGCCGTAGATGGACGGTGAAATTATACGCAATGACGAAACAGATGATAGATACTTTTGCACAGCGGTAAAAAAATTTCAAATAATTTTTTTAATTAAAAAAATAGACGTTTGTTCTTGAAATAACCATGAAAATTGAGTTGCAATATTTTTCGCTAGACTTCGTGCGTACTTCGCGTATAACTCATAACCACGATAAAGGCCAATTCACGATCCAATGTTCGCGCAGGATAATTCGAGCCGGTGCGAATCTTACGATGCAATTCGCATTCGTTTCGATTCGCCACGGCGATTCGTTACCAAAAACCGAAACCCATCGAGTCGAGCCTCGAAGTCAATGTCAGGCCAAGGTCCGCATCGTGATAATTTATCTCAGCACTTAAACTCAGCGACAGTTATGGTTACTACACCCTGGGCCGATTTGCAAACGGCTGCCTCGAAGCTTCCCAGCAAATTCAATTCCTTCGACGCCCAATGACGTTTCGCCAATTCTCATTGCTGATCGCGTGGAGAACGCGATAAGGACCTTGATAGCGTATTCCCAAGGTGGTCGAAGGTGTTACGCATAAAATTAAATTTTTTAATCGATTAACGATCCTGCTCCATTGCTGCACCATTAACTGTAATACTATGTTCATATTCAATGGCCAGACTGTGCTCAAACGGGAGTAGGTATTATATAGGTATGTGAATTTTTAGACTGTACTTGCTATCCGGCTGGAACTTTCACCGTGAGCTCGTTACCGTCCTTTTTCATTGAAACGGATCCAGTGGAGAACGGAGCCCGGGAGGTTAGGGTCGATATATTTGGATTAAGGCAGATTAAGGCAGACCACACTCCGCAGTCGTCCGACGCGACTGGCTACTCGGAACCATATAGCCTGCGAGGATTTTTATTAATTTTCAAACTCACCTCTGTTGGTGCTCGTTCAGCGCGTAGCGATATGTTAAATTGATGACGTAATAGGCCAATAGATAAACCAGAAGTTCCCGCCAAATCAATTTGTAAACGGAGCCTCTCCATCTGAAAGAGCCAAAAAAAAAAGTTTACGTAAGTCAAAGGTCAATTTGAAATTGGCGACGTTTGGATATTTCCCACTTAAATGAAGAACATGAGCACCTATAAGTCGAGCTAGCCTCTTTCGGTGCGATCTGACTTTTTTTTACTCCATTACTGTCGAGTGTTCGATCGCACGGAGCATGCCAGCGAATACGGTCCAATTACAAAGCCGGTAGTCGCTTCATAGAAACGCGTGCCGGGATTAATTAGCCTTACCTTTCTTAAGTCGCGTTCAGGGACGAGTTCGGATATCTGTAACTGCTTGTCCCAGTCCTACGGTCGCACGAAGCGGATAAATTTTTGAATTTTTTTTTCTTCTACTCCCATCATTGGCTTATCGTTAACATAGGATTTACATCATTTTTCTTATCATTTGCTCATCGATAATTTCGGCGATGCGTTTAAAGCAAATTTCGCTGGATCAACTTTGCGACTTTTTGCTTGCTGCATTATTCAGCATCCTCATGCCACTTCTGAGTTTCCTGATCTCTGGCTTTAAGTAATAATAGTTGAAGTCCTTAATGTTTAAACATATATTTACGTGTTACGTAGCTGGCTGGCTACGCGTGCCTCTCGGTTCATAGGTCGCACTGTCGAGTCTCATGGATATTGATAGGCCGCGGAATGACTGGTTTGAATGCGTTGTAATATTGCTCTACGGTTGGAAAATTGTCGTCTGGTGAGTGGTCGTCGAAGAACCTGAGTCGAATGGTATATATATAAAAAAATGAAAGTATTTAAACGTCTGCTGAAATTAATAAAAAGAAAGTATATCCAGAGAAGTAAATACTTGTGACAGTCTTATCGCCGAGTCTTATAAATTGTACAGCACGTGTAAGAATTATTGCTTATTCGTAATACAGATCCCAGTGTTATGCATGAATTCCGTGCTTAGTCAATTTTCAAGATGAACGTGGTACTTGGAGTATATACTTCAATAAGGATATATTGTAGGGTGCATTCGATCTTTGAATCAAGTAGCTGAAAAAGTGTTGTTTGTCAATCGTTAGGATTCAATTGCCTTTCAGAAGCATTATGTATGTATATATGTGTTTATGCTTAGAGGCATACATGCTTCTAATAAGACGGGCGATAAAGCTTCAGCGAATTACGTCGATTTCGCGGTTTAACAGCGCGTAACCAAAAGTCCCCCTCTTACTCTTTCGCCTTCGACATCTTCTCCACCTTCTAACCTCTACTTCTAATTCGGGTACCGAGCGTTTCGTAACTCGTAAAACAGCGCTACTCGTACCGTTAAGTCTTCAAGGTTCTCGAGCCGCCGTCATTTCCTTAAACGTGACGAACTCGAGTCGTCCGAAAGGACTGCTCGTGGGTTAATGCTTGTAACAGGTTAAGGTATACCGCAAAGGAGTAAGAAGAAACCACAAGAATGATCCATCTATTTATAGATACAGCATCAATTATTGGTTTCGATTATCGGTGGACCATCGGATGAATTCTCGTTACTCGTATCAGATCTCCAGGAAGTACGCAAAGGAATTTACTGAAGTAACGCGAAAATTTTCATGCTTCTTGTTAACGATTGACATGTCTAATTGATATTTGATGTTAAAAAAATATGAGGAATCCCGTCTAACCGGATGTCCGGTATGTCCAGGAAATTCGGTATATGCTCGGTTAGCGTAACGTGGAGTCTCGAAATCAGGTCGGTGCATTGAAAAATATATGTAGCTTATTGGGCGTGATAACGTATAGTAAAATTACTGCGTCATTAAGGAAGTCCGAAAATGTACGTACAATTTTTTTTTCGGATTTGAGGTCACTTTTTAGCAACGTGATAATTATCCTGACCGATTTCTCCGAGCTACTCTACGCCGACTGTGTAGCCTTTCGATTTTAAAATTGGGCAAGAAAAATTTTGTCGTAATACGGGAACGATGTATGGAAATAAATTTGTCGATATCGAGATAAGACGTCTTCTGTGAACAAATTTTTTTCTTCCACTCATTTTATGCTCCGTTCACTGGTACCGAGTATGAACCCAAGTGACGACGAAATAATTTCACCAGCCCACGTATGACGGGTAAAGAAAAAAAATATAATAAATAAAGTTTCTGGAATGCGATGAAAGTCTAGCGGTACGAGGAGTTCCTCGAATTGTCAGAGAATGACCCTGAGCTTCATGGCCGATAAAAAAGATTCCTCGTTACAGCATATTACCATCCTAACAAAACGAATTTTTCAGTTCAACCGGCCGATCCACGAGGCTCTCTTGCTACGGATCCTATGTAAAAAATAGCGGTCCAAAGTAATGAGTATAAAAAATAAAAATAAAAATTTGACACCAAAATTGCATTACCAACCGAAAAAACGATAAAGGTACATCAAAGGTTAATATGTCGATTATGAAAATGCGAAAAAGGCAACGGGGCGTCTCGTTTCTATGTCAGTGGGTCATGGGAGGCATTGTCCCATACTTTTCATACAGTGTCGCATACGGACGAGTGTCACACTTGTGACAGGAGCGAATAAGCATCGCAGGTCGTTCGCGACCTTCGTACGTTTTTACGACTTTGTTGCGCGAAGCGAATAAGTGACAGGTAGTTTTTTTCGAGAGATTCGATAATGACGAAACGAACGATTTCCGTGGGATTTGCAATGGAAAAAAAAAAAAAACAATAGTGGGGCGCCTGAAGAAAATGACAATACCGACAGAGCAATCGTCACGAGGAGGAGTTAACCGTGACGAGTGACTGCTGGTCCCAAACGTAAACAGAATGATTCACGATCATGCTTTTAATACTGGCATCAAATACCCAGTGTATGAGTTCCTCACGTTTTTTAACGACTGATACGACTGAGAACCTGCCTTACTGCAATGCTTATATAAAGTCGTATGGTTTCATGGTCCATCCGACGTCCACTTGCGTCTTTTATATTGACCCGGGTCTAAGAGGATACAGAGTATTCCGAGAACGTATGAATTATTCTGAAGTAATGGGATGACGTTTCTTATCGAATTTTCCTTAATCTTTTTTTCATACGAAACTGGTTACTCCAGCTACTTCGTTTCTCCCTTGGGGCTTCGTGTGAGACATAGGAACAAAGAACGCTAGTCGATACTGCCTTTGTTCTTAGTTGTTACTGGACGAAGTGAACCTTGTGAACGTAGCTTTAGTGCCTGACGACTATGGCCTAGATGGTATACATACACGACTTTATACCAGCTGATGGGTCCCTATAGTCTATTTTAGAAATTTCGAATGACTGCGATTACGAAAAAAAAAAATTATTAAGAATCCTCTAACGAGAAATAATAAGAAAATTGTGAGAATGGCTACAAGGAAAAGAAAATGTCCAAAAACCTCGTGACATCGATACCGGTGTAGCTACCAATACTCTTTTCGTTTGATTGGTCCATTAAATAATTCGAAGCGACAAAAAAAGTTTTCGTAAATGTCACGGATAGTAATGACTATAATATTTCGTACAATTAATTATAAAAATAAGTAACGACGTTTAAGGGTAGTTCTTATGCTGCTTGGCATCCTTGATAACCGCGATTTCTGTTCCAATAAATTATGTGAATTAGCTCATTGCACAGAAGATACTAGAAATCAGTAGCACGGGTTAAGTTTGTAAGAAAAAAAAAAAAATAAATAAATAAAAAACAATCTGTCTCCAGACAACGTCAGAGCACAGAGGCCAAGGATCGCTCGGCCATTCGTCCGTAACCAAGTTCTAAAATCAAGTGCAAAAAGAGAAATGACTGCGTCAAACAAACAGTGTTATGTCATCTATTGGAAGTTCCCGATGATTTGTGGTTAAGCCGATGACTCAGGTAGCGGAGCAAATTAATGCAATAGAAAATCGAATTACTAAAGGAAAGTGTTTTAAGTATTTTGAGAAAAAAAAAAAAATTGGCACAACCCATAAAAATATACATAATATATTTAATGTAATGTATAACACGTCTGACGTTGATTCAACGTCAAAAATTACCGGCACCACCAGCAACGACGTCTGCCGTCATACGTAGTCGACGCCGGGACGTTCCGACGCGCTTAAAGTGAATGGGTTGCCAGATGTCGGGCTTTTATGCAAGAACGTTATAACGTAACCCTCGTAATTTAGCACTCGCGGCGCCTGAGCGTTTCCTTTGCAGTCCTTTCTCTGCCCGCTATTTCAGGCTGGCCGAGTGCGCCGCGACGCCCCGCGTCGTTTGCGCCGTTCCGGGAACACAATGCTGTTATAAATCCAAGATAAGGTCGTTGCTTATGGTGATTTTTTGAAAATTTAAAAAAAAAAAAAATCGACCCGTGTAAAATTTATATACATATACACACTCGAATACCCATATATGAATTTATCAATGCAATTAACCCATGTATTGATCTATATATTCCACATGATTATTATTTATCGATTATTAAAGCAATCACGAATCCTGATTTTCGAACCTGATGGTAAGTTATTGGTAATCAAAGCCCGTGGCATCCTTTTGGATTAGCTAATCGTCACCCGTTAGGATTAGTTAATCCCAGCCCAGATACACGGATGACTAATAACGTTACGCGGCAGCTACGCGTTAAACCCCCCAAGGATAGGGAGCATAAAGGAATAAAAACAAACATACGAATAAAGGCACAAAAATACGTCAGTCGCATGCAGATTATTCACGACGCAGACTTCGGCGGAATCGAACGGCTTCGAGTCCCACACGCTATGTATGTACACGACAATCGGTCGTATAAAGAATTGTACCTTTATCTTACATTGTCAGCGCCCTATCCCAGTATGGTGAATAGGTAATTTTTCTTTGTTATTTACAGTCTGTTTTTCGTCACGACCCAAAAGCGATTTTTCCTTCTCGATACCTCGACCGCGATACAATAAGATCGAAGGATGGGATCGATCCAGCTGGTACGAAAGATATCGCTCTAGAATGCAAAATATTAATCAAGCCATGAGTCACTGCGAAACGTTCGTACGATCGGAGTTCCTCGTGCAGCTACACGTAAATCAGCCTTGTTGTCGCGTCTTAAAATAAAATTGTCTGGAATCGCCTACTCGTTTACCGTATTAAATCGGCATAAAAACATATTAATAGAGCCAAACTTTTTCCCGTAAAACGAGATTTATGAATAGACCCACAGCGAGATCGTTAATGACGATTGACTGTGAAGGACAAACATAAGAGAATAAGAGAAAAAGGGTGGTGACGGTACGGTAGGTAAGGAAGATAGAGAAGGTAAGTCTGGACCATAGAGTGGCAGCCGTGATGTAACGGTCCACCGGTCAAGGCTCGCCAAGGCCTTTTATCGTTCCTGCCCAGACGTTTCACCTTTAACCCCCACCTTGGTCACTATCTCCTACGGCCACACCTACGGCTACGTAATTGTCAAAACTCAACATGAACATGGTAACCATGAAAGTTGATCAGAACTTGCTATGGTGTAGACTATGGTGCTTTTTCATGCAGAGACCATATGCGATTCTGACGACTCCGCTCCAGGCTATGGTTAACATAGTAATTATTTGACACGTGTACATAGATGGGAACGTCGAGCGGACAATGGCAGGAGCTATTGAAAATAATAAGTAAGACGGTGGTGAAAGGGAAGATTTTATTTAAAAAAAAAAAAAGATAAAATAATAGTGAAAAGATACTTTCGAAAATCAAAGAGTGTATCAAGGTAGTTAGATATTCAGCCAGCTGATTGTCTGTGAACACGACGTGTCAAGAGCTCCTTTGAACTGGTTGACCAATTACTATCAATTGTGATTATCGATATTTACGATAGATCGTTATCGATTATTTATTTGTAATATTTTATTCATTCTCGATCAGTTACCATGATAGAATTATATAACGGATATGCGAAAAACCATGAGTGGCTTCCATCTTTCTGGTTCGCTCTAATAAAGATCGAGTATATTGTGCTATGAGTATTTTTAGTACACCCGGTATTTTTCATTGATATACAGTCGTATCTTAGTCCTTGTTTTATTTTTGGCCGTTCGTATAACAATTTATTAAATGAACACCCGTTAGCTGATTTTTTATTATTATTCATACGTTATGGTGACCATGGTCATCAAGTTTTACAACGATCTCTTTCCATCATTTATCACAGCCGCCGATGGCTACACGAGTTATAACGTCGTGTGGTGAGATAAGGAATTTTGCAAATTTCGCAAGAACTCGGAATAGCGTTAAACTGTCAAGCAGATGAGAATCGACATCCTTGGAGATTTATGAAAAATATTTTTTTTACGACTCCTCAATTCCACGAGTAACGAGTCATCCGGCATTGAAAAGCCTGTTAATCAGTCGCTCCGTGCGAGCCTTGCTCCAAACTCGTGTCCTATCGGCAATTTCTATATGAATCCGTAACCTTGGAATTTCGCAGAAACGCATGCACACTTTTTTCCCTAAAGCTACAGAAATTCATCAGGATCAGAAATAGGCGAGAAAAAAATAAAATGCATCAATCGTCACGATATCACGTATTTACCTAAAAGTAATACCCGTAGGACATCAAAGAATAAAAGAGAAAGAGAAATCAAAGAATTTTCAAAGAAAGGCAATAAAACTCGAAACTCGATCAATTTCGTTGATCGACACAGAATAAATAACGTGTAAATCACCTTTCGAGAAGTTTACGCGAAACAATCTTTGTACACGTATAAATTAAAGCAGTCGCTTATCCTTTAAGCAGAAACCGAGTGAAATTAATTCTGACATATGTAATCAACGTGCGCCTGTTGCTAATAGACCGATCAATAGCCAGAACACCCACCTATATATCAATTTCCACAAACATAACATAACCGTGTATAACGTGTTGCACAAAGAGACATAAAGAAACGCCGGATCCCAGTAAATCAATTAAACAGTCCATCCTGAGACAGGACAAAAGAGAAACAAGAGAACTCGCGCTGCACTTAGTGTAATCCAATGATTGGTGGCGACCATGATATTTCAGAGCGAGTATAATCCGTTTCAAAAGTTAAGCGCAGAGGTCGCTCCTGCATATAAATAAAATTTCAGATTCGTAATTCAGATATTTCAAGGCAAGAATTCTCAAGCAGACGGAACTGAAGTAAGAGCAAAATAGAAGGAAAAAAAAAAAAGTATCATTCCAGTCGTTCATCATTCTAGGACGAACAACGTGTCTATTGCGTAACGGACGCTTTAAATCAGCTACCGGTTTCAAATCGGATCGCGATCTGCTTGCGCGAGGAGACAGGTGATTGGCCAGATACACGATGACCGGTACTTATGTAGGTTCTTTGGGCGTAAATTTGTCCAGAGAGTGTCGAGTGGCGTCAAGTCAAGAACGCTAATAGCCAAGCGGCCACGTTATACGGGACATTGATCGTCGTTCGTTCGCCGTTTGAAACTTCTTTGGGCACCTTGAAGCAATTTTCAAGTGCACCGATCTACCGACGATGTACGACAGTAACCGGTAGTTGAACATAACCGCAGTATAAGTCTTGTGTGCGTAACCGACTTTGGCGAAGGATTAGCGAGACGTAAGTCATTGGATTTCCGTTACGCAAGACAAGTCTGTATACGAGAGACGAACAAGGTAAAATGGTCTTATAGGAAAATTGTATAATTCGGTAAGCAGCTAGAATCGATTGATCGACTTTTAAATCTATTCGATAAAATTTTACCAGACACTAAAATCGCCCAAGAGCGTTTGCCTCTGGTCCTTATTTTTTCTCGTTACTATTATTCCAATTCTGATTGGCAGATCGCCCGATCGATAGGGCTGAGCAGCTAACGCCGGACCATGAAAATAATTAATCAACCTGGCATAATGATTAGGGCTTAGACAAGTGCTATACATATTGATGAGTTTTATTGACAGTGACACAGTTACGAGCAGCCTTGTATCTCGGTGCGTGTATCGAGCTGCGAGAAAAGTGCGCAAGGGTCTCGGGAACGGATACGGAGGAGTAATGAAATTATTTCTAGCGGGGCGAAGATTGTGATAAAAAGATAAAAGGCATCAAATTACGTTATAAAGTAGTTTCCACGAAACCGCTAAATCTTCGATTGGCGACGCTCTCTTCGTTTCTCGCGTTTGACGTTTCGACAAATGGGACACGTCGATTCCCTACAGTTTTTTTTTTTCTTTTTTTTTCTTTACTTTACTTTTTCCACATCTTCTACCATCGTTGACTCCTTGACGATTAAGCCGCAAGACATTTTCTCGATGGAAGAATTTTTCAAAATTAAACTCACGCAAGGACTTCGAGATTCGTTCTCACTCGTCTGGTTTCTTTCCGGTTTCTTTAGTGCGGCACATAAATGGATTACAACTAACCGGCTATACTGATCCGCAATGTCTTCAAGGATAACGATGGCCTTTAGGATTGACAATGGGCAAATGATTTCCTGGTCTTTTTGACAAGATAAGCAATTGTCGTTTTTACTCATATGAAGTATAGTACAGATAAGAATGTATACTGAGAATCTCTAATTTTAATAATTATTATTAATTTCAATTGGACACACCTAAACTTCTATATCGCACGTCCTGTGGGCTTGTGATTAACTACATTGGTTTTTTGTGAGTATTCAACCGGTGTTCCAAAAATGACTGAACGCGTTAACGCGTTCTAATATGAAGCAAAGCTAACCGGCTATTTCCTAAAACTGTCTCGGCATACAAATCAATCTGTATGGAAACGCCTTCACCTTTCGAGATAGCATCGTCAAGGCAACAAATCGCAATCAATTCCTCGGCTCTAAGCTAAACAGCACCCTGAACAAGGTCGTCGGGCATCAAAACGTTGCATAACTAAGGCCGGTCACGCTTCGCGAGACTGCTCCTCCGTGTCCGTCTTCTTTGAGAATGACACGGACTCGATTTCGTACGTAATTGCAGTTATTACGAGTCATCGATGGAATTCGCCAGAATTCGTAAGCAAAAATCAAGAAGCATAGCGGCTGTCATTTTTATTCATTTTTTTTTTAGGAAAAAAAATTTGTTAACGTCGATTCAAAATACATGGATGGTTCAGTCGATGTTCTTTTTTCATGCGTAAAGCGAGGCATCTTGTTGCATCCCTATAGAAGGAACCCTATGCTTACGAATGGGACTTACGAATGATACAGGGTACAGTGTACCGAGGTAAAAGCTCTAATTTTTTAAATACATAAGTCTAACTGGTCGACACGTAAGACGTTTAAAGGAAAACGTGAATCAGTGGAGAATCCAGGTTTCCAAACTCGTGTTTGTTAGAGAAAAAAAAAGCGGAATGATGTATTTTTGTAAAAAATTTGATGCAGAGTCATCGTTTCGTCCGATCGATATTTCACTTGGGAAATATCGAATAAATTCGATGCCAAAAAATTGGCTTGACCTTGTTTACAGATAATGATGCAAGAAGAGAGCAGATAGAAAAATCTATTGCTTCAGGATAAAAGAAAAACGAGCAGCTTCACGGCCGGATCTCCCCTTGGTTGACTAATTATTGGCAATTAATCCTAAATAAAGAAAAGAGAGATACATGGGCAAGTCCACGAATCGCATTTTCATTCCACAGACGGCGCTGCGCTTCCGAGGAGAGAGTGAGCGACCCTGTAAAATGTCATTTAACCCAGCGAAGCGATCCAAGGACTAGTGGAAACGTCCACCAGGAAATACGGTGCTTAAAAAAAAAAAGCATAGAAAAAAGTTTACATATGTATTCCCGTCAAAAATAAAAAAGATAAATTTCGAGAAAAAAAAGTCTACACCAATAATGGTCGTCGCGACAAACCAGCTTGGAGTATCGTTATTGAGTATCTTATTTCAAAACTTTCGTCCTAAGACTTTTGGAACACTCTGTACGCAGAAGGCGTTCCTAAAATCCTGATAAGAACCGTGTAACACGTGCCGGAGACAGTAGCAGTGGCGGCACACTGGTCGGCTCAAGTTTCTAAGCAATTCGATAGCGAAGCACAGCATAACATAGCAGACTATAGCATTGCAAGGCAGAACGTAACACAGTAGCGATACAGTACACGGTACTGCCTATATGTATGTTAAGCAGTCTAGAAATCTATAGGAAACGAATGATACACGTCCGTAGAAAGAATTGAGCCGTTCAGTGATTAGGTCGAATGTGTACCACTGTTAAAATGCACCCGTTCCACATGGTCCGTGTGGTCATGAATGTAATTCATGAACAAAGCAAGTTTTTTTTCATAGGGTACTCGTCTGTAGTAAAAATGAGTCACGTACTGCAGACAATAGCGGAGTGTACAAATTAATCTGAAAATCAGATAGATCAAGGATAATACGAATAAAAAGGGACATTGAGAAAAGTATGTATAGGCTTGGCTAGTAACGATGGGCCGTTCGTAATAACTCTCTCGTATACAGTAAATTAATATGATGCGTTCCTGAGGAGGATAATTATCCTGAATTTAAGAGACTCGGTGAAGGTAGAACTCTCGCTGCGTTACGTCCGGTCAATAAGTTCCGGGCACTTTCCTTGGTACTGGGAGCCAAGAACAGCATGAGAAAACTTATCATTGAGATTTTCTATTCCTGGATGTCTCGTGTGGTATTTATAGTCGACGTCTTACCTTTTACATAAGGAGCATAAGAAAGTGAGCATACGAGTAACTATCTCGGTATGTGGATATACGTGGGTTGATTCGACCGGGAGTCATTAAGATTTGTTTCTAAGGACTTTTCAAGTCAGAACTCAAATTCTTACTTGGTTCTGGGGTTACACGGTTTATTGGGCTAATCGTAGTTATGATTGTGAATCTAGGTCGTATTTCTAATTATAGTCCTAATTGTACTGTTATCAGGTATCCTTATTAGGAAATAAGCCGTGCTGAGTTTCTATAAAATATTTTAACGGCGACTGTAAAGTGACGGCTGATTTGAGGATTAGGCCTAAATTTATATATTTCGTATAGCATTGCTGTTCTGCTTCGCAATGCTATTGGATTTTCATCCTGTGCGTGGATATTAAAAATTTGATCACACGGCAGATTCGTAAAAAATTTTAGCTTGGAGCATCAATTTTAATGCTAGCCATAACAAATTCATGAAATCGTTATCCCAGCAAGACGACAGTCGCCAAAGTACAAATTCAGAACATATTAATTATGAATAGTAAAATTTTTAAGTGTGCGAAATTTTATTTAAGAATCAGTAGGTCGATCACCGCGTACTTGGCGAGATCAGTAAGAATCAGGTTGGGCACGTGCTGTGGACCAGGGTGAATCAGCGAATCGTTGTAACGGTTCAATCCCATGGATGACTTGACGATTTGTAGGAAATAAATTTGCCAAAATCAAGGGTGGACAAATCGCAATCGTGCAAAATAGATTGAATGAATTATATAGACACGCTAATTGGATCACTTTCCAAGAGTGAATCACAAAGCGTAGAAAATAACTGGCGACGTATAGAGGTCAAATTCTCGAAGAAAGCCAATGGCTGACCTTAGATCGAATTGGGTGAAAATCAACTGGTAAGGTCCTTAGCCCCGAGTGCGATGTGGCAAGTGTCCAATGAGCGACAAACACGAATGATTGGTTTGCATAACTAAAGTTTCGCAACATGCATTAAGAGCGCGTATAAATTTTGAAGAACGTTAAGCCTCGATATAAGCATTACAGAAATAATCATAATATCGGATAATTTCATTTTACCCCAAACCATGAAAACCAGGCATAACGGTGCAGCCAGGCAAAGGCGATCGGTAAACTCACAAAGCGGTACCCATCGCTATACGTATTATTCGAGAGTACAGTACTACCAACCGACAGTATAGTCAGGACAAAATTTAAATTTACCACAAGCTACGCCCGCCTCACTGTACAGCAGGGAGTTACGCCACGTAAAATCCGTTAACAAAGGATCGCCAAAAAGTGCCAGAATCTCCAAATCGATTCCACATATGAAATTCACACGTGAACGACCATCTTAACTATTTGGGAGTTGGTATCGCGTGACGAGACGGAATTCACTTTCTATAAATTTTATCTAAATGAAGGTTTATCAAAAAATTAAAAAAAGATATCTCCATCTCCTAAGATTTTGAAAATGAAAAAGCTTCGAGAGATACTCGAAAGAGAGCGTTCGAGTTTAGTGCGATTTACCGAGCAGATCGAAATGCAACATAAATGCCAGACGCTTTCTAAACGAACCGGTGCCGTAACTTCGTTTGGATCGATTGGAACGGGGCTGATTCTCATTGCATTAAAACTGCCGCGAGAAAATGATGATGTAAGGATTGATGATAACGTTTTATCATGTACGTACGAGGGGAAGAAGATAGCAATGTATATCCTTATGGCCCTTAGTAAATTCTGTAATAAGAAAAAAAAAACGAATGGCTACAGGCTATTTTGCAGCCATCGTCCAATTAACGATACACGGAATACTGGGAGTACAAAGACCAATGACGTATTATTTCAAGTGTACGCGCAGACTTTGATCGTTATTAACGTTGGAGAGTTTCGTGCGAATTCCATCGTGCCCAAAACCTGTCACACTTTCCTGTGGCGATAGGAGCACCCACTGCCAAAATAGCCAGTCAGGAGCAGTTCGCGCTTGGATCTTTATAAATCTTAAGCTAACGACATTCGAGGGGATACGAGAAAAAGTATTAACAGAAACGTCGAGGTATTTAGAAAAGCAGCGAAGTCGTATTCCGAAATCTTACGGTTCCTGATATCAATTCTCGACTAGGAAGCTGCCTCTGGATGGAAGCCAATTATCGTTGTACATGTTACTTCTGCCATTCGCGGAATCCTACCACAAGGACTCGCACCTTTCGAAGCGCATATTAAAGTCTCGCAGAGTTCAGGATCGGTTCCACGAATTGAAAGTCTAAGTCATTGCACAAGATTCTCGCGACTCGATATCGCAACGTGTTCGCTTTACGTGCTTGGGACGTTTGGTACTGGGAACACTCGAGCGGACGAGCGAACGAAGGGACGAATGAGTATAGGTCGCACTTCTTGGAGCCCGAAGTAACATAGAACAGAGTATACAGAAGAGGGAAGAAGAGTAGTTTTCACAAGAGTATAGACTAAGACGCAAGAAGCAGCCGAGAAAGCTTTTAGAACGAAAGTCAGAATGCAAGGCCGAGCAACCGCAGAGAGCAGCAAAACGACGTCTCCTGCGAAGAGTTTACTATTTTCAGAATACTCGAGATACGATATAACAGTAAAAATAGTTTAAGTCTCAGGCAGTAAAAAGGTTATTCGTTTGTTGCTAAGGAGCTGTCCGTAAGAATATGACCAGTTTTATACCCGCTGTCAACTTTAATCCCTCGGCCACTTCGATCTAAAAATATCTCGCAGGTATAATTTTTTGTGCCTTCTTTTCTATTCAATGTTTATATTCACTTACTTGCAAAGGATCTTCCAAAAGCAGCCAAAGCTGGAGCCATTCGGCACTTCACTCGCGTACGATATAGTCATTTCCTGCTGAGCCGGGCGCGCAGCGCTCCTTCAACTCTTCTCCTTTGCTTCTTTCAGGCTGTTTCTCTTGTTCAAGCTTCCGGAAAGAAGCACTCGCGCACATGCGGCGCGCGGGCCGCTCAAACTTCCTTATCAAGTCCCTCGTCTGAGGGTGTCGAGGTATCGCGACGGGTTTATCATCAGACAGCTAACGGGTGGACAGAACCAGCTGACCTACGGACCGACTGTCTACTGACTGAGCTCCACTGATGGACGGGACCAACACGGAACGGGGCCCAGCTACCACCTCCAACTTGGCCAGGTACGTCGGTTCCTGTCTTTAGGCCCCGCGGCATGAAATTTACAGTGACACTAACTAATGAAGGATTATCACTGAGTTTAATGAGAAACTTGAATATTTACTCAATAATTCCAAATTTTCTTTCGTTATTATTTCAGACAGTCGACTATAATTTTATTTATATATCTGAATACATTTGGATCCTTACTCGATTCGTACCTGGTCAAAGCATAATGCTGCTATCGTTGCAGTTGTTGTGGCTTGTGGGTTTGGTGCGCTACCTCGTGGCCGACTTCCATACCGTCCTCTCACCTTGCCGTGGCCTAGCCTCCGGCTAAATTCATTTCGAGTTCTATATCATCCAATAAACAAGCTTCTCCCTATAGCAGATCAATTCCTAAAAGTTAAATAAATTTGAGAATGACTTTGTAACCCTGCCTGATCCAAGTATGTACCTGATAGAAGCGGGTGACATAGAAACAGTGATTTTTAAAAGAAGTTCTTATCTCTGCAGTGTTTTCAGAAAATATTTCAACGGGTAAATATTGAATTTCAATGAAGGCATTGCTGACTGTGAACCTTGCTTCCAGAATGAGAATCGTAGGCGCTTTTACAGAGGTGGAATATGTTTGTACCATTTTCGATGGTGGCATCGCATTGTGTTCTCTACCTGGCCTTACTTACATTTAAAAGGTGGGATAGGTCATTGACGTCATTTGGTAGTTTGTATGTACCTAGACTAAGACACCTGCAGGTCTAACAATTGGTAATTAAGGTATAAATATTCTTACCTGAACGACAGGATTGTCTTTTGCCGTTGAAAATAAAGAACCTCTCCTTATAAGATATTCAGTAATATTTATAGCCTCCTAAGGTAAGGAGTGGAAACTAATTTTTGTCTTAATAAAAATTCTAAACTCATAAAACAAGAGGAAAAAACAAAGGATAGGAATATAATAAGAATGACGCTCTTTCTATTTGACCTTACTAACCTATCTACTTGGAAAATTCCATAATACTGTTATTGCACATGGTAATATAAAACGTTCTGCTATTTATTATTCTCAAAAACATGCTCATACAGACTGAGAACAAACTTGACAGCTGCGTCATTGGATCATACAGATTCTTAAATATTGATATCTTTCTGTATCCCGTAAACTATCTCGGCGGAATTCTGCAGCAGCTTCTTCTCGTATTCCGTCATGCGCATGCGCACAACTTGAGTGACGCCATTCTCGCCGACAGTGCACGGCAGCGACAGAAACATTTCATGACAGATATCGTAGTGACCCTACAATATATGACAATGAACAAATTTCACGCTATCGAACCCATTCATTTCATTTGGCGCACCTGTATAAGCGTGGAAACCGTTTTGATGCATTGACAATTCCGTAGTACAGCTTCAGTGATATCAGCCACCGATAAACCAACAGCAATATTCGTATAGCCTTTCAAACAGCGAACCGTGGGACCTCTGTGAGAAAAGAGGAGGTTGAAAATAATTATTTAAAAATTTTACAATTAAAATAAATAACATCACTCACGCTCTCACGACTTCCTTAGCGATTTCGTTCCAATTCTCCTCGTCAGTCTCCAAACCGATATTTGGCAAAATGTCGCGAAATTGAATACCGGCAATGTTGACGCCGGACCAAAGTGGAACTAGAAAACGTTAATCGGATATCTTTAATACGTAACCAAAACTTTCTTCGTTTGGAATTGCCCGAAGTTTTCTCATTGAACTTTATGGGCATATTATGGTAAATTTTTACCCTGACTGTCTCCATGTTCTCCGATAATATATCCCTCCACTGATTTACACGATACGCCAATTCTCTCGCCGATTAAATAACGAAACCTCGCAGTGTCGAGGTGAGTGCCACTGCCGATTATTCTATTAACGGGGAACCCGCTCACCTTCCAGGTTATCCAGGCCAAGATATCCACTGTAAGGTAAATGTCACTCGTAATAACGCAAACAATATTTCACTACCGTTCGATTGACAGCCATGGGGCTATTACCAGGGTTGGCGACGATAATGAAAACTGCATTGGGACTGTATTCTGCCAATGGTGGTATAATATTTTTAAAAATATCAGCATTTCGTTGCACCAGGTCCAATCGAGTTTCACCCTTCTTCTGGCGAGCTCCGGCGGCCAGGATAACAACTTTCGAGTTACTCGAGACGCAAAAATCTACGATAAACGTGCGAGCCATTCGTTCTCGTTTACCATCTAACGGTACCTACTGCCGGTAAGTATATTTTACCAGTGCCGTACTCTATTCGCGGAGCGTCCATGAACACGGAGCCGTGACCAAAGTCCATTCCTTCGCCTTCGAGTTTCTTTGGAAAAGCATCGACAATCGCTACGTGACTTGTTATTTTCTGTAATGGGCAACGAAGAATTCTCATTAACTTGACGACACATACTGTCGAATAGTTTATAGAATTACCTGGAAGAGTAAAGCATTAACGATACCAACGCCGACCATACCGGACCCAACAACGGTAACCTTGTTCATACCATCCCTCACGGGTTCTGCTACTTTGCAGAGTAATTCCTCCCGTAAGCATGGTTGGGGTCTGAAGGAAATTTCATAAGGATTTCTTTTTAGAAATATTTTCATGTATCAATCACACGCAGAATTTTCGAATCTGCTTACGCAAAACTGACCGCTCTCTGCAAATCCGAACGTGGCAGAGTTTTACCAATCCTCGTACTGGCACAATTTGATCGATGACCTCCAAATATATCGGTTAAGATACTTGGGGGATGAGTAGAAAATTGACGTGCTATTTGGCATATCTTTTTCGATGATACTTTCATCCCTTTAATGCAATGTGGCCATCTTCTTGTCCACAGCACCAGGCTGAGAACCATCCTCCAAGATTATTTACAATTCGATTTTATTTCGGTGTACGTCTTACATTGCACGGGAATTTGATGGACTTTGACGTAACGCCATTGTATCATCTATCAATTGTTTAAACAGTTCCATGGTGATAAAACGTCAGCCATTGTCTTATTGGGATAGACATTTTGTTACCTTTATGTGGGGATATATTTGGATTTTATATATGCAAATTATCATTCAAGATATTTTTTATTCACTGGACGAATACATAAACACATACTTTCATGAATACTGATACAGGAAATGCATTATACGAAAATGCGGACAACGTATTGACGTATTTTAGATATATATTTTTTTTCGTTATGATGTACTTATAGTAATAAGAAGTCGGTACTACTCCTTATCATTCAAGATTGATTCTCGATAATACATAAATAATTACAATTTTATAAAACCTCGTCGTACATTTATTAGAAAAATCGGATAAAACGTTCATAGCACTTTTGAATACTTTAGATGAAATAAATAAGCACCGTTTCCTGAGATACTGCGTCACTGGTATGTTAACGCATATTTTGTAAATTAAGTATAAAATGTGTATAAAAATAAGAGGTAATCGGAGATGATGATTCTTATGTGAAACCTCAACCACAGAGCAAAGGACGAAAGTAAGCCGCCAAAGTTAAGCTAAAACTGCTAAACAGATAAAAAACGATCTAGAATAATACTGTTTTGTTAAAACTTCAAACCGTCCTGAACAGCCTGCATTGTTGTGGCTGATTTTTTAAGAAGTTGGCGTTCCTCGTCGGTTAATTTCTGTCGAACTATATTCGTAACTCCGTCCTCACCCAAAGTACAAGGAACCGACAGAAAGACCTCTTCGGTGATATCGTGAAGTCCCTGAAAAAATATTCAAGAAAATAGAAGTTTGTAACTACGTCGGTAACAGACTCCGAGCGAATCTGCAATATCGACTTACGGTAACCAACGTAGAGACAGCGTGAACTTGATTAGTGTTTCTTAATATAGTAGAAGCGAGGTTAGAGATACTCAGGCCAATAGCCCAAGAAGTATAGCCTTTGAGTCGAATAACCTCGTAAGCACTCTGTACAACTTGCTTGTGCAAATCATCCCAACGCTCCTCATCCTTATCAGTACCGACGTTTTCATTCAGATCGCGCAATCTGACACCAGCAACGTTCACTCCAGACCATACAGGTACTGCAAGGAACCCACAAAAATAGTACAGTAAGAATGACATGCTCAAATTGTCCACTACCATAGTATCGCTAACGAAGTGACTCACCACTGGTATCTCCGTGCTCGCCGATAATCCAACCATGACAAGAGGTTGGCGCAACTTGCAGTTTCTGAGACAAAAGAAAACGGAATCGAGCCGAATCGAGATTCGTGCCACTTCCGATAACGCGATTTTTTGGTAAACCAGATAACTTCCATGCGACGTAGGTCAGGATGTCTACTGGATTGGATACGATCAGAAGGATCGTATTAGGACTGTACTTGACAAGTTGAGGTATGATGCCTTTGAAGATGTCCGTGTTTCGTTGAACTAAATCCAGACGAGTCTCGCCCTCGCGTTGACGTGCACCGGCAGTCACAACACACATGCATGAATTTGCTGTGGCAGAGTAATCCGTGCTTGCGTTGATACGTGCATTTTTCAGGAACGCAGTACCGTGTTGAAGATCCATCATTTCGCCTTTGAGCTTGTCCTCCATCACGTCAACGAGAACAACGTCGTTCGAAACGTGCTGCAGGAGTATCAAGAAAAAGAAATTTATTAGGTAAATTACAGAATTTCGGTTTATCTATATTCTATCTGACATCGAAGATACTTACACTTGTTAGTATACTAAAGGCACATGCCATGCCGACTTGACCAACTCCAACGATCGTAATTTTATTCTTACCAGTCGAAACTGGTTCGGTTATTTCCTTCAGCAATTGCTCCTTAAGTGACGTCATCTTTTCTGTAACATATTTGAAAATATAAATTCAATCGCGCCAAAGAAGCTTGTTCTCTCGTGCATAATGTCATCGATTTTATTCGGCTTAGTCCTAAACTATCGATTTGTACACTGAAGGTCATGACTAGTAGAGCAGTCATAGGTAGAGGTCACGATCGTTACGAATGCTATAGGTAGAGGTCACTAGAAGATTTTCGAATGAGAGTAGTCTCCCGTTCAAGATATACATATGATCCGTATGACCCTATTTTTAGATTATTCCCGCTCAAGGACTAAAAAAAAGGACTTTCTTATCCGTTGTTCAGGAGTGAAGTATTAAACGTCAAATACCAGATGCGCTCAATAGATGGCCATACTTGCATCAGAATTGATTCAAATTTAAAATCTCACACGAAACGATATAATGGATTATTATATTAGCCCCAAGGCATACAATAATTGCATGTGAGCATACCTTTATTAAGGGGGGAGATACATGTAGAGGGTAAAAAAAATCGTAGTTTATACCCACAAAGTTTTAAATTCAAATTCCGGAGTAGTTTTAATGTTAGCGGTAGCTGAAGAAGGATCTTCATGAGCGCCGGCCTCTTAGCAGAGTCCTATTCAAAAACAAATAGGAAAAGTACGGCTCGAGCTTCTAAGCCACGTAGAAGACATTTTCATGTAAATCAATTTACTAACGAAGAAAGTGACGTTAATCGAAACTTTAAATGCGCTTTTTTCAAAATAGCATTTTTGAAACTTGTAGTAAAGATAACTCAAAAACTACTTAACCGATCTGGCTGAAATTTTGAACGCATTTATAGTACACTAATACCTTGAAGTTAAACTTACATGTTCCGAAAAAATAATTGTAAAAAAATATTTTTTTTAATGCAAAAAGAAAAGCAAAGTTTTCACCGAATATTCGAACTGTTTGTGCAAAGCTTACAAATTTATAAATTCCGAAATTTTCTCCTATTTTAGAGTTTTAACTATGAGTAATACATGTTTATAATACACTGTGGGTCATTTTGTATTGTACAACTTTCAAACAAAAATTAAGAAATTAGTTTAAGAGTTTTATATTAAGGTCCTAATGTTTCAGATATGTATAATAATTAAAAATTTCTATGTAAAGAAAATTCACGAAAATGCCTTTTTCTTGGCCTTCTACATGTGTCTCCTCTCTTAATACAACAATACATTCATGACGATGTAACCGGCATAACCTACTATTTCAGCACCGACGCTACAATGTATTCAATTAATAATTTCCACTATGAAAATAATAGTACAGAAAGTCATACACCAATACACAATGCCAGAAACATTACTCACCTTTCTTTTTTACCAATGTAATACACCAACGACCAACAGATATTACGAAGCCTCACTGTGTCTCTGAGAACAAGTAAACTCTCACTGATCCGTTTGACAGTTCGGAGGTGTGTGTACTTGAAGGTGACCTTGCACCTACTTTTATACGTTCCTAAATTCAAACAGGTGATCATTTCCGCACTAACGAAAATTACGATTGTACAAAAGAAGCTCTTCTAAAATGAATTCAGTAATATTTCGATTCTTTTCGATGTGCTTGAAAAATATATTATACAATAAAACTATTAATTTGTGACACGTAGTAACAACGCGCGGGTGATCAAATGCACGTATGACTAGGGAGTTTTCGGGGAACCTGCTTGAGTATCTGCGCAGGCGCAGTCAGGGTTGCTCACGACTGCCCGACTTGTCCGGTCTAATAGAAACCCACCTATTGATCCATCCAACTGTATTCACTTTCCCTTAGAGCTGGCTGTCATTCATCCAATCGTAATGCTCCTATGGACTATGACTGTCACAGTGCACCTTACGAGTCTCGACAATTCATAGTTTAAAATCGGCACACTCTAAACCATGATCATGACAATTTACTCGGTTCGTGATAATGAGTGCGGAACCGTTCATATATAAATACTGATAATTATAATGACTTAACATTTAACCTTGATATTCGTCAGAAATAATTCATGCTGTGGCAAAAATTTGTATTGCCTTATCTAATCAGTGTAACTAACCTGCTGTTATTATAGTACATATCATAGTACTGTGATTTTGTGTTATCGCACTTCTCTCTTTTTTTTAATTAAAAATATCCATAAATGATTTGATACTGCTCTTAATATATCCTATTATTCGTTTTTATGACTTTTCATACGTTATCAGACACGGAATTGCAGATATGATTCATAACGAGCACATCGCATTAATTTCCTGCAAGAAATGACGCAACGGAGTATAGAGTGCTGGAAACATGGCGTAACGAAACGCAACGTCCTACGTGCTTGACGTCATACACTGAATGGGGACTGGTACATCTTTTCACGATAGTGCCTTATGGCTTTTTATTCAAAGAATAAAAATACTTGCAAGGTACTACTTTGTCATATAAAGATTACTGGTTTTTATTTTTAAAGCTTTATTGAAATTTGTTCTTATCTTATGTCTCCCTTTATTCCTTCATGCTATTTCATTCCAGAGGTTTGAAATGAAAACGTGCAGGAGATCGCATACTCCTGGCCTGAATTCCGCGAATGCTTCACTGTATTGCGAATCGTTAATTTAGGTTTGGCATGCTGGTTCAAAAGACTCAATTCGTACGAGACAGTTGATGCCAAAAGGAATCAGTGGCTTCTAAGAGTCGCTAAATTACGAGGACATTCAACAGATTGCAGTAAATGGTCATAATGAATATTATCTTCGTTTCCAAATTCTTTCGTCATCCATACGTATTTCTGTGGAAAGGAGGCTTTTGATACTTTGGGTAAAACCGGCACATCTCGATATAAATAAATGAATAAAATATATCAACGCATGAAAAGGTACCTTGAACGTATGCTATACTAATGTGACATCCAATTGACGATTATACACGGTCGGTGTAGTGATAGTTAAAGGATGGTCACAATGGCCTGCTTAGAGTCTAACCTTTCGAAAATTTATCCAGGATCGGCCAGTTACTTGCACCCTATGTCATTGACGGTCATGAGACTGTTCGCACAAATCGAATTTTGATCGACTGCGGATAGAAATTAAAATCCACAATAGGAAACCTTTAGGAGAGCTGATCAAACTGAACTTTTACTTACGAAGTGCTGCACTTGACCATGGATTAAGAAATTTAATGATGGTTGAATAGGGATAGGGGTTGGTTTAAGGATCGAAGGAAGATTGTTAATAGAAATGTTTGCAATTAAGTTGTGTACGGGTAATTACAATTTGAAAACAATAATTGAATTTAAAGGCAAAATAAAATAACTTACGTTATTAAAATATATTGTCAATACGATGTTCAACTGTTGAATTCGAATTCGGAATCGGCGACAAAAGAAAGATTTATAGAATTTGAACTTAGATCTTTTCTTGAGTTGAATTTTTAGAGAACGATTTACTTTGTCATCTGACTGAACCTTTTTGACTTCCAACTCCTGACTGAACTCTATCTGATCTTCTTTTTGTTAGATGATTTCATGAAGACATAATAACTTTCAATTGACCTGTGACTAACTGTTAGGCCTTGATCACTAGGTGGGGTTTTCCCTTTATTTCTTGACCTTCCGTTCGTCTTTTGTAACCTCTTCCTTATACCATAGCTTTTCGAATTACACACATAGCGCGTGACCATTGTTTTGTTTATAGTATAATTTCTATAAGACGCAAATATCTTATTTTTAGTTGCCAAAGAGATGCGAAGGCTAACTGTCAATGTGTTTTCATTACGTGAGTGATGGTTTAGAATTATTCTTCGAAAAATAATATATAGATTATCGATTGTTATGAGTACATACGATGACAATAGTATAATGCGTCGAATCAGACGAAATACAAGTTAAAAGCATGAAGCGTGACTGAAGGTTCTCATCCGGACGTAACCACCGACTTGCCAGAATCGCAGTGACGCAGTGACAGAAACCAGTTCGTAAGTTGAAAGATCTAAATTAGCCGATAAATATTTACAGCCAAACATGAAATCTCTTTGAAGCATTTACAGAATTTTTACACAATAAAATGTATAAATTTATATATCGCAGATAGTTGGGAAAAGATATGGAGCTAATAAATAAACTGTTCTTATTTTTTAAAATTATTTTTAACAATCCTGTGCACATCGTGTATGCATCCTTCAGTCTATCAAATACCCAAGTCTAATTCACGAGAATTTTGACGCAGCGCACCAGACGTGACAGGAACTCTACGTTTTCTTTTTATAAATCGTCAAAGTCATAGTGGGGGGTATGAGGAGAGACCCCGTGGAAGAAAAACGGTAACCAAGGATGCACAAAGCATTCCATACGAGTATACCTCGTATGGGAGTGAACGCTGTAGGTAAATGGGGTAATCATCTCGTAGTAATCGTCTGCTAAAATATACGAAAAAAGAGGCGCAATACCTTGTCGTGGAGCAATTTCCATAAACAATGTGGCACAACAGGCCACACAACTCGTCCGTTACCGGCAGAAACTATACGGTGTATACGGCTGAAACTGTAGATGTATGTTGTCGAACATAACCCCAAGGGGCACGCTTCATAATAGAGCAATTTAATAAATTGTCCATCGTGCCAATTAGGACAGTGTTAACGATTACCGAGGAGAATCTTGATATGGTAATTACAATCCAGTAAAGCATTCCCATTCGTTAGCGAATCTTCCTGACTGTCCACAGCCTCTGCCGGTACCCGAATGTCGGTGTGGTTTCAATCTGGTTCCTTCGTGATTGTAAATTATGGCGCCCACGATACCCTAATACTTTTGGGTTGGCGAGTGGCCAATCGGATTAAAGTACTTGGACCAAATATTTTCCCCCTACATATTTACTCCATCCACCAGCAATGACGATACGATAAATATATATCATATAAATTTTGTGAATACCGGGTAAAATCATGAGTGCGTTTAAAATAACGTGGAAAAAAGTACAAGGATAAATAGGTCGTAGATAAAAAAGAATTTATGAACACAAACTGCTAGCGGCGGTAACTCTAAATGCTATTCGCACGTGAATCAAAGTGATTCTAGAGTATAAATAAATCGTGAGCACCGGATCTTATGCTGGTAGCAAGGAATAGAAACAGTTGCGACTATAAATCTTTAGATCCGGCATAATCGGGACAATCTGGAATCTTGCGTGAAGCAACGTGAATCTTTTCACGCGGTTAAGAGAGACCAATTGGTTTTATATTTACCTCGGATGGTAATGCAGTGTTCAGAGTATTTATCGGTAATTCAGAATCCTGTTATAAATCAACTGGCACATGCGATCATGGTACCGCCATAGAAATTATCCTAGTCGCTCATACGTAGCGAAATTATACTCCCATTATATCGACTACGACGTTTTTCATTGCGCTTGGTATAAACTGCAGCTGTAAATCTTCGCGGAAGAACTCTCCTGGCGTTTTCGCGATAATGCAATGCCTCACAGCTTAATAATAAAATCCATTAGGCTGGCTAATGATGATACTCGGTAGGTGATAATGGATTACTCATGTAAAATAATTAAAAAATGCCTTATCAGGTATCGCTAAAAGGAATTTACACGACTAAACACGTGTCGCTTTACCTTGTTTGTTTTAATAATCTAATCTAGTCTCGTGCGCGTCAGATTTCAATAGGATACACGTTGGTACACATAAGCTCACCAAAGAACCAATCTCAGTCTGCAGGGTGGTCTGAAAATAATAAATATCAAGACTTTACTCCGTACTCGACTTTGCCCCTGGGGTCTTTGCAGTTTCTCATTTCATAATATTCGGCATGGACCAAACGAATCGACGCTGGCGTGATTACCAGCCGTAACTCTTACCTGGACAATTAACGTGCACTCCTGATGCAATCGCCTGCTATTAATTACAATCAATACTATCGATGCTGCCTGATATTTAATTCCACACCAAGAAGTTTCATTGTCTCTTATGAAAATTAACGCGATTCACACTTTGGCATGATTTAGATATTAACGATGATGTTTAAAAAATCATCGATAAGCTCGCAATGAGCTGTACTGTGTACCTTGTGGATTCTAATAGTGCACGTCGCCACCGCTAGATGGCAGGCGCCTTGACTATTGTCGTCAGTCGTGTAACTCGCCAGGAAAACGGCCGAGTTGCGTCAAACCGTCGTGAAATCTTTTGTCGAAGGTGATGACCCAGCAACGGTAATCGACGAGCTTCGGTACTCAGGACTACGAACTCGAACACTTGATTGCTCCGGAGTGACTGCGTGGATCTTAATGAATTTGAGCGTGACTCGAACTTATTGGGGTACTGACTCGCTCACAAGTCTAACTTGGGTATCGTAAAACGATCGACAACGGCGCGCCGAAATGTACAAAAGTGTTTCTCTATTCCTTTACTAAGTACTCGATATGATTTAGGATGGTACTAATAATCAAATACAATCGACACGGATATTATGTAAGTACCGTAATCATATAGTATATGTTAAATTATTATACCGACGCTTATCTCTCAAATCATATACTATGAATGGTGCGATCGGGTCACGGATATTGGTGGTAGCAAAGAAAGAGATCGAGGAGGTTGGATTGTTGATTAGCGGATATCTTAATTACTGATTGGCTGTGCGGCCTAATTAAATCGTAACTCAATCAGGCTCTGAACCGACTGCCCTGTAGCTGCGGTTTATGAGTGCGTTTGGACCACAGGCGGCCACGTACACATACATGGCACAGCCAGTGTTACCAATATAAAAGATACTCCTTGCGTTATGTTTCCTTTTTATGTTTCATCTCGGATCCTCCTTTCTTTTTTTCATCCCCACACTTTTTCCCACTTCGTAACGTGCATTCTGTCCAGACCTTATAAAAAGCATAATTAGTACCTACCGCTGCGTAGGGTAACTGACAACGTCACTCTTCCTCAATGACGTCACTTAACAAATGACATAGATTTACCAAGGTAACGGAATTTTTGGTAAACGTCATTTCTTTCAGCCCAACGCTCCCGGCTAATGATATCAAGTCCACTTCAAGTATCTTTTACATTTATTCAACCTTTTTTTTTAATATTCTTATTTTCAACTTTTATAACCGCTCTGCATTTCCGTCCCAGGAACGCAGAGCGCAGTTACAGCCACGGGAATTATGTCATTATACACAATCGTGGTCCGGTTTATAAATTATGGACTCCAGACGCGTCATCGAGATAATACAGAAAAATGGCTCCACCTCGGAAGCTCGGGCAACCAATGGGATGAAGTCGTAGACTGGTGTGGGGTCTTGCGCCGGGTACATTCGTTAGCGAGGATAATGAATCACTTGAAAAACGCGCTCCTGTCCTGTGGCAAGGATCGCGTATATATATAGATATATACACATGAAATCATCAACAATTTCTACCACTGTAACTTTCCAAACGTTGAAAGGAGAAAATGAAATAGGATGTACGAAATAAATAAACTCTTCTCAAAACAGTTAAATTTTCCTTACGCGTTATCACATAACCTCTATAAATGAACCAATCTTATTTTATATCCTTCCTCCACTGGTTCTGCTCGACGCTTATATCTCACTTGTATTACTACACTCACCGGGTAATATAACGTATTTTTTAAATCTGAATATTTCGCAAGACCCATGAAAAATCCAAGTCTGTGTTTGCATCCTTATGGCGTTATGGCGACGTGCATGATACACGCACCTTGTGGGTGTCCCAAATCCAAGACCCTTTAAGGAATTTGTGTCGGCTTACTCGATATGTCTTACTTACTGGGATGTAATGTGTTCGCCCTTGTAAGACTGATTAATGCACTTTGCTTCTTATTGCTCCGTGTAACATATACATGTATGCCTTACTCTTCTCTCAAAAAAATATACACTATTATGATTTAGCTCGAGGCTATCGAGTATGTACTTTCGAAACAATCTTCTTCGTTAGAGACGTATATTGTGTCTTGTGGCTGACCAGGACTTTCTAATATTTTTCAGATATCAAGTATTTGATAATTATTCTTTGGAATTACACGCGTATGCGTAAGATCGGTTAGACTGCCGAAAGGAATTGTCGTTCGCACTGATCAGCTGATCCTGACAAATCGCTCAGCAGACAATACGCAAGTTGTACAATGATACATTTTTATTGATGGACGTATAGATTTGGAAGGTTGGTACTTTTGAATTTTTATCGTTTGGTACAGTCGTTATTATTAACTTGATATTTCTTTTTCTTATTTCTTCTTTTTAGGTATATAGGACTATTCTAATTTGTCGAGGATTGGTTTTTGGGCTTCGTATATAGAACGGCAGGATTTTGTTGTTGATTCTTGTTCCTCCTCTGTGTACAAATGACGTATATAAGACTGAACGCCATTTCTTCCTACGACACATGGTAGCGACATAAAAACGTCCTTCTCCAGCCCGTGACGGCAACCCTAAAATTTCAAGCATATTTACTTGTGCTGACTGTGAAAATGATTTATCGATGCTGTCCACTCACTTTCACAAAGGTCGAAACCGTGATGCACACGCAGGTGTTGCGCACAATGGCGTCGACTATTTCACTGGCACAGATACCAACGCCCCAATTGCAGTATCCCTTCCTGGAGATGAGATCGTCGTTGCACTCGACTACTTTATTGTGAATTTCTCCCCAGGCTTCCGGATCCGACCTCATGCCGATTTCCTTGTTGATATCCTTCAGCTTCATACCCATCACTGCCACAGCGGACCAAACTGGTACTAAAGGCAGACAAAATTATACCAGATGATGAAGACTGTTTAAAAAAAAATGATTTATCGAAAATCATCATTACCGGATGTCGGTCCATTCTCGCCAATGATCAGTGCTTGTACTGAATTTGCTGAGAGACCAAGCTTCTGTGCGATGAAATACTGAAATCTACAGCTATCCAAAAAGGTACCAAGTCCAATTACTCTGTTTGGTGGAAATCCTGATAATTTCATGGCGGCATACGACAAGATATCGACTGTGAATGAAAATTCGTTACTAATTGTATCTTTATTGATGTTTACATGGAAACTCACCAGGATTCGTGAGAACAAGGAGAATACTGTTCGGTGCGAATTTACAAACATTTGGGACGACGACTTTGAAGATATCCAAATTTGGTTCGAGAACGGAAGTCGAGGACTGACCCTTTTCCTGTCTGATTCCAGCAGTGATTATACATACAGCAGCATCCCTGGCGCTACTGTAATCTAACAAGTTATGTGTCACTCAAGCAGAAGTCTATCATGGCTTGATAATTCTTTGGAAAGGAAGGATTAAATTCTTAACATATCGGATCCCATTGAGTGAACCTTCCTAGCATAATTACTGGCAGCTGATCTTTGAAGAGTATCGTCTTTTTGGTTATCGACAGTAATGGGAGGTACAGGTGTAACACATACCGCAGACCCATAAGAGGTTTACTAATTCCTTCCTTTCCCATTATCTCAGGCTACTCACCTTTGGTACCCACGATTTTGGGATTGCCAAGGAAAGCAGCTGCGTGGCTTAAATCTTCAGCCTCCGCCTTAGCCAGTTCCTCGTTGGAGTCTATGATGATCAGTTCAGAAGCGAGCCTCTGTAACGTTATAGATTCAATTAAACAGAAAAGAGACTCAAGTATCCTTTCTAATGGTGCACCTTGTCCATAACGTAAATTCTCTGATAAAACATTAATATCTTAAGCCCCATAGAATACCTATGTATCGAAACTTGTCTGTGCAAATTTTTGATCAACTTTGGAAATACTTGATTCGCTCCAGTAACGTTATTCCTGTCGATCACTCATTCTCGAGTAATTACACGTCGTGAGTACCCTCTTCATGCTCTCCAGTCCAGTCCAGGTTTTGTCCTCGACCTTTACAATGTTTTGTGGGTTTTCAGCAGGAGCAGCTTGCTCCTCCATTCATTATGGAATCACAACGAGCCAAGTGATTCAGTAGCCCAGCGTATAATGTCGCCTTTTTTCTCGCTATGGTGTTACACGCAACACGATTTAGACAGTAAAGGATTCATTTTCTCAATTCACCATGGGCCCATCACTTAATACTCAAGTTCGGCCAAGCGCCGTGGGACAGAATCCAATGGTCGTTATGGACTCGTTAACGTAATCGACGCAGAAGCAGGAACATTCATAAGTACGGACAGCCTCCAGGATAACGGTCACGAAGATTTCTTCGAAGCTTTTATACAAACTGGAAATCTCTCTTTTTGGTGCTCATAGGGCCTTAGGTCCCATGATATTTCTAAACATAATTCAGTACTCCAGGTTTGGTAATGGTTATCGTACTTCTTTACACCCTGGACCCTTTTCAGCGTGTCGTATCGAAGTTGATGAGCCTCCACGAGCTCTGGTGTTTCGATTAGGGACTAACGACCCTTTTCGGCTTACTTCGTCTTTGGCCTTTTTTCGTTTTTAGTCGTTACCGACGGCACACGTCCGACATCCTCTGATTTATGCTCGTCGAGGATTCATGACTGCCGCACACCACCTTGACGAACCTTCTCTTGAATTCCCTCTCCAAGCTTGCTGAGGAATACGGAGGGTCGTCCAGGGCCGTCAGTTTTCTACGTGCAAAGGACAATTTTCTATTGCAGGTACCTGTACACGCATTTAAATTATACACTGTTCTTGATTGGCATTTGCATTTTAGAAAATTCCCCACAGATGGGACCGATCTATGAGGTTCTGCAGTTCTTAGCTGTCTACACTGGATTTTTGGAGGACATGTGGGGGTACATAAATTTTCCACAGACCCTATAGAAACTTTTGAACATTTGTACAGGGACAAACAGCCCTTTAAAGATGGACACAGATCTCTTCTTGAAACGTAACGTTGAAGATTTGGTCCTGGACAAGGTACTGATAATCCCGATGTACTTGAAGCTGGACAATTTTTCAAATTGAAACACACAGAAGATTTTTTACTTGGTGATGCTGAAGTGGGACGTACACAAGAATCATTGAAAATTCTCGTCGGCGTATTCCCGCACGATGAATGACAGGTACAATTTTTTTCATATTTTTTAATAATAGCGTTGATCCTTTCCGACAGACTAGGACGCCCCAGGTACGATATCCCCGAAGTCATTTCTTCGTTACGTTCCCTTCAATGATCCTCCGCCATGTCCGAAGATGAATATTTAAAAGGTGCCGGTTGCCTAACCAGAGAATTTCTTCTGTCCCTTAACCTAAACAGGATGTAATGACAGGTACGTCATAATACCAGCTGCATGCAGACTATCATTGCCAGTATGGCGTTCTTCTTTTTCAACGACAGTTGGACATCGATCGAGCATCGTCATCATCATTGCATTATTAGTATCGCGTTACGCTAACGAAACGTTTCTTTATGGTAATTACGGGCTACTTCCGTCGCTCGCTGGGTTGTTTGCTATGTGATCAATTTGCGGAAACCGAGCCTGGAATTATCCGCCCACGTTTATTAGTCGGCTACACCACTCGAATGGATACTACGAAAGACCATCAACCTTCGGCAACGTTTACATTAAATTATCCAACCGTATCGTGTAATTGGAAGGAAACTAAAATGAATCGTGTATCATTGAAGGAAATTTAAAAAAAATTCTATATTACTCATACGGTCTACGCGAAGCAATTTTTTAAAGCCACAAATTTTCACGGGGAATAATTCTTTTTTTCGGCTGGCACCCTGTCTACGTGGCCGCGGGTATGGATTTCAGTTTCTCATAGGTGACTAACATAAATCAGTCCTGGCGACCCTGCAGGGGCGCTTGGAAGACGTGTAAATGCTCGCGTTACGATCCGATAGCAACTCAAGGGAAGCTTGTTTCTCTGGCTTGTCTCTTATTCTTCTTCTTCGTCCTCCTTCTCCTCTGCTATTACCACGCACTCCTTCTTTCTCTTCGTTCTCGTTCCTCTATCGTTCTACCCCTTTTCAATGCTTCTCCCACGTGTACCATCCACAAATTATCAAACCACGCTTTCACGTAATCCAATTTTTTTTCTTCAGCATTTCGTGGGATCATTTGCATAATAGCCCTTTTTGATAGGCCGCCTAACGAGATTACATTCAGCAGTGTATCTTTTCACTAAAAGTCCCATTCTGTATCCACAGACTCTCGTCGACTAGCCACGAGAATATCGTTTGGACCTCTCTTATGTCATACCTGCGTTACGTTACGTTTGAAAATAAAATTCCAGCTCGACCTGGCGCATCCTGGCTGAATCAATTGTGAGGAAGAGATTAGACTTACCGAAGAGGACTATTCAATGTGGATTATTCGAACGCTTGGGGATGCTATTAAGATGTGAGGTTAGATTAGGTTAGGGTGTATCGCAAACCTTGAAAAGGATGGCAATAGCGACAGCCACACCGGTGTATCCGCTACCCACAACCACAACCTTCACCCGATGACCATCAGGAAGGTAGTCGGCCTGTTTTGTAAGCAAAAACGTCGCGGTGTTTCCGCTCGTTTCATTCGATCTCTTTCTGGTCTCGCTCATTTTTCCTCAACCCGAAAATTTTCACTCGCGTTTCAGCGTCTTTCATGACCAAAAAGCTCGAATTTTTCATAAGACGTCTTAGTGACTCTAATCAACGATTTTTGTGAGGCACTTCGTAGGAATTTACATGAAATATCAAAAAAAAAATTTTCACGATCAACATCCGCAATACCTTACGTACAGTCTGAAGTTGGCGCCTGTAACGGCTTGTAGCTAATATCAGAATTGTAAATGTAAAAATTTTTGTTACAGATAATTTTTTTTTATAATTATATTTGGAATTTCTAATGATTTAGTTTAGATTTAAAAATTGTCTACTATTTTTCATTGATCAAGTCTTCACGTCATCCCTAGGCTCTTTCAGTATTCCACATTCTCTGAGTGTATTGCGAATGTTATCCGCACAACTTTGCAATGCCGTTTTTTCAGCCTCGGTTAACTTTTGTCGCACTGTGTGATGCACGCCTTCTCTTCCCAAGACACACGGTACGGACATGTACACGTCTTTATCCGTGCCGTGCGAACAACTCTGAAATAAAAATACTCAAGTAAGAGAAGTCCTATCTATTCGGTATCTCATTAAAAATACTTACGTGAATGTAGGTAGACGCGGGTAGGATGACTTTCGTATTTCTCAATACGGCGTCGACTATTTCAGCCGTGCAAAACCCAAGTCCCCAGCAGTTTGGGGCTTTCGAACCTTTTTGTTTATCTAGTCTGGCTTCACTGTTAACAGGGGAGTTTATGAAATTGTCTAAAATCTCAAAATCAAACTGTCACCTTTCGTTTACGGCTGCATTAATTTCATTCCATTTTTCTGGATCGTCCTTCTCTCCCATTCTTGGATTTATGTCACGCAACTTCATTCCGGCCACGTGAACACTTGACCAAAGCGGAACTGCAAGCACAAAATTGCCACGTATGAAATATTTAAATATTTGATATAACGCAGCGGTCTAAAACCAAAATTAAGATTATTTAAAATTATATTTTACGGCTTAAGAAAAAAAAAAACAGTTCAAACAAAAGAACCAATCCGAGGTCTTACGTTATACTGTAACCGTCCCAGCCATTGAGCAAGATCATAAATAGCAAAAAATGTACCCCGTAACACCTCATCTCATCTTGCATCCCAAATGGCCAATATACAACCAAGAGTTCATAAAAGTTAAACGTACGATCACCTGGAGCATCCCGACGAACCCAAGTAGAAGACTAATACCCGTATACGTAACTCCAGGATAACAGCCAAGAGTTCAATAATTTTTTTGACTGATTACAAAATATTTTACTAAAAAAATTAAAACCGTACCCGACGAGTCTCCCTGAGCTCCGATGCTCATACAGCTCACAGACGTGTTAGCCAATCCAAATTTTTGACTCAGAAAATATTGGAAACGAGCACTGTCCACCAGAGTACCAGTTCCCAGTACACGGTTCGATGGGAATTTTGACAATTTCCAAGCAATGTATGACATCACGTCAATGGGATGAGTGGCCACAAGTATGACAGCTCTGCAGGCAAATTTTGCAATGGTGGGTACCAGTTTCTTGAAGACTTCAAAATTATACTTGACATCAGGTTTCCCATCGCTCTTCGTATCAGCTATGGCGATGATCACTACAGCCGATTCCTTGACCATGGACATATCTAAAATCGTGAGTAGAAAGATCAGTCGAGCGTGCGGGACCTAAAGAAATTTCCCACTGATCCACTTTCCCAGAACAGGAGAACGGTCCAGGGTGGTTTCATCCCCAAGTGAAAAAGAAAGGCGACAGGTAAAAATATTTTCTCTGTCTTTTTCTCCCATCTTCTTTTATCCTCTCCATCCCTCATTCCTGCCCTGATTTACTTTTTTCATCTCTGTCTCTCTGGACCCATACTCCCTTGATATTTTTATTTATCAGAGAAATAATCTTCCGCCGATACGACATAGAGGTAAAGAGCAATAAATAAAAAATCTCGTAGATCTCACAAAGTTTCATAAACTCGCGATTGTTTTCATGGGACGCAACCCTAAAACGCATAGTAGATGATCTGCGGGCCGATAAATAAATACGTGAAATTTATGAGCGTGCGAGGGAAAACAACAGAAACGTTCAGTGGTCCGTGGAGGCATGCGGTGCCAGATGCGGAACCAAGATTAAAAGGACGGTAAGTTTCGTCGGTCTGCATATACTATGTACGTTATATGTACAGTGTAATATATACATATATATACAATCGCTCCTGACCCACTGCACGTTGATAGGGGTCTTTTGACGAGGAGGCGATGTGACGGCTGATCTTTTAAACATGCTGATCGGGCCTAGAGATGTTCCGGAGAAACGGGTGAAAAAGGCAGGGTCATCAGTCAGGACGTATCAATTTAAGATTTTTGGAATTCGTGACTCGAATGGGGACGAGCTATGAGAGTGTCTTGAAAAGCGGATTGTCTTTCCCTATTGAAAAATTTTGAAAAAAAAAAAAAAATTCATGATTTACCCGAAGCACCGGTCACCAAAGGATTCCCCAGAAAGATCCCAGCATGTTGTATGTCCTCGGCTTCGGCCATGGCTTTTTTTAGGTCTTTATCGATTAGGCAGACTTCACTGGCCATTCTCTATTAGATGGATTAAATTATTGAAAGCGTCAATAAATAATTGAATTAATTGCTCTCGAGATAATAAAAATAAATCATACCCTCATGAGTATAGCAATCGCACAAGCCATTCCCACGTTTCCGGTACCCACGATGGATACTTTAACTCGATGTGGATACGTATCGCACGGACCCAACTGCGTTGTTATCAAAGCATTTTTCGTGGTGGTAGTGGTAATCGGAATCTTATCTCCCTGTAAAAAGAAATTGAGATATGTCGGTCTTACTTAATATTAAGAAAATTTTCTACTTAACCATACTTACGTCGAGGCACTCACTCTCCTCTTTGGGTTTGATATCATCCTTAACCTTCTTAGTACCATCGTCCACGATTTCATCATCCATATTTCCAGCGGTGATCGATCAATCAATCAAGACCTTTAATCATTAAGAAAAATCATTTAAAAATTTGAGAAGAAAAAAAATAATTCCATGAGATCGAGCTCGTAGGAAACGGACGTATTTTCAGCACGAGGAAGCGTGAAATCTTAAGGTTCTTGATTCCACTGATGTGTAACGAAGCAGGTCGGACTTGGAATTACTAGAAATCTCAAAAGGAGACAGGCCTAAAATGTTGTGAGAAACGGCTGGAGGGTCACGTGAAAAAAAAAAATTACAAGAATTAAAGAGGTTGGCAGAAACAAAAAAATCTAGAGAGAAATAATCATAACGAAGAAAACGGTAATTTTCCTGTCGACTCTTTTCTCCCGAATCCGTCATTCGCGCCATCTGTCGGCTCGAACCCCTCACCAACCGAGCCATCTCGAACTCGTTAACTCACCGGAACTAGTGCGCGTTTTGTTTCGAGGCAGGCATAACGAGCCGTGCCATTAAAGTGGCCCAATTTCTACCGATAAACGGCCGCAGGGCCGTTAAGGGGTTTTAGGACCCGAAAGGAAACTCTGGAAGGGTTAACGTCTTGATCAGCCAGAGCCCCGTGGCGTCTGTGAGGTTTCTTGACAGGTTTCAAGCGCGTGAAGCCAACATGGCGGCGATCACCTGTTCTTATTAAGGCCTCTTCACGGTTTGTCTATCTTATTACACACGCTATATCAGGTATACGGCAGATGCACGCGAAACTCCATAACGCACGTTAGTTTTTTAAAATGCATTTCTCATTTCTCTTCTATACGTTCAATATTGCACCGCGCGATATATAACAATACATACACGCCACGATATATAGGCAGAAGAGAATCCGACTCGCCACGTGCTCACGCAATTTCCCATCCACGTTATTAACTCCTCAGGAACACACGGGGTGGTCTTTGCTTTCTCCAGGTTTAAACGAGCTGGTAGGCTGGTACGTATGCAGATCAACTCGACCTACGCAAGGGAAGTAACGAAGGTACGTACATACAGCCACCTAACATGCATGCTATAAGGGACTCTAGTAGGTATGTACCTTAGGTACCCATGGAAGAGAATGAAAAACTTATCCAACCGCTTTGCCTGTAAATTAGCCGCAGGTAGTCTCTCCGCGAAGACTCGTATATTCGTACTAAGTTGGTTATAACGATGAGAAATTGAATAGACGAGTTGTTTTCAATCCCATGAAAAAAATATCCTTTGAGCTTTGCGAATTTTAGGTTAACCGTATCGAGAGTTACCCCCGGGTATACCTCAGGTACAAATGCATTCCCATTCAATTTGTGCGTTAATAATCCTCGGGTGAAAAGAAATGACGCCTCTAGAAACACGACGCATTCATCACTCGCGATCGATATTGCGAATGCGCTTTAACGACGCAGGAGATAGTATCGAACGTTCTGACTTCAGAGTTATTGAATCGCGTCAAATAATATACGAGCCAATAATGTACGAATTGTGCTGCAATTACGGAGCGCGTCGATCCTATCGGACGCATTGCTTTATAATTTAGTAATCGTTTACTCCACCGCTCATGGAAATCGACAGATACGAATCCACCATTCGTGAGTAGTATACCGTGTATACATAAACGGTCGTTAGGTTAGGTAAGACTAATTCTGATACTCAATGACTGTACATATGCAACCAAGGATAAGACGTAAATTGATACAAGGACCCAAAGTACGCTAGGGATGGCGAATTAAAAGGGCGGTACGTTTCTCAGTGTTTTGGTCGAGCACGAGCATGGGACGATAGTAGCGCCGCGAAGTGTAGCCAACGAACAAATAGCCAATTAAAATTCCGGTTGCACAGCAAACATACTTGTATCAGCTGCGGTACTACCCAAGCATTGTGCTTCGTGGCCGTGGCATGCGCACGCCCGGGCCTGCGCCTGTGTTACGGGGGCCCCGTTCGGCCGACTACGTTAGTAGATCCTGCACAGACGAGCAAAATGCCGCCTGATTTCGCTATCCGGATAAGCGAAAACTCGTTTGCACCGTCGGGAATAATCGTCCTGAGAATCACTACCGAATTTCAGGTACGCGCCGTTCACATACGTACAATACCCTTTAGGACCTATTATAACAGCAGATAAATATATAAGCAGGTATATACATGGCAGAGGGCATAAGGGTACGATCGAATTCTTCAACACCGCAGAATAAAGTCAAAAAGATGTTCCTTGTCCATAAAGGGTGATGCTGGATTAACAGGAAAAATAAAATAGCGCTACATGCGCCCTCGTCGCGGATCGCCTCAATAAATTAGAGCGCCATCCCGCTTATGATTCAATGCGCGCTTTAAGGGCTGCAAGAACGAATCGCTTCGCAGCGTTACTGGCCGCGTGGCTTTTAAAAGCGGTAGCCCGTAACGTGGAACCGGAGCGGGTTTTAGCGGCGAGTACTTTTTTCGCGGCTCCGACCACTTATTCCAATTAAAATTGCATCTCTATTTTAGGCGATGGCGCGCTCGTAAACGGTACGCTCAAATTAATTGGGCACTTAAACGTCGGGGATACGTTTGACTGAAAATTTAGCCAGCGACCATTCCGCGAGTTTGGATCTATATCGGATGTGGCCGTACGACCCGAAAGGTCGAGGAACCTTTTATAACGTGGCATACACTATATTTTATTTACCTGCAGGATAGAGCTACGGTACGTGGGTACCTAGTCGAACCCCAGGGAAGGGGATATTCCTCTCGATCCGTAGCTTCGGGGTACCGCAGTCGTTCTTGGCTTCTACTGTTCTTGTTGGCTGCAAGCTGTAAGCGAAGGGGCGAGGCTGAGGCGCAATTGTTTATGTTCATGTTCCGCCCTATCGTACGCATCGAACACGTACGGATACCTACCACGCAACGCGAACAGGTACGGTACGCTTTGTCTCTTGTCGGAGGATCATCATTTTGCTCTTGGGGCGTTAAGGACGACGTTCGCCTGGACGAGTGGGCAAGCGTGACAATGACGAAGTCCCGTGCATGGTCCACGTCAGGTATAACGGACGTGAAGGAATTGCCGAGGAAGGAAGCTGGGAAAGGGACGATCGACTTGACGGATCATGCGTCCTTTAAGACCTGGAGGATAGGGCGTCGGGACGGCCCCCGTCTGCCCTCTCGAATAGAAACCCAAGGTAAGCCATACCCCACGTACGTAAGTTTCGTGCGAAAGAGACTCGATTTAAAATAATGAAAGTTCTTGAGGTACCAGTCTTAAATTTCGGTACCTTACGGCAGTCCGTGATAGCTACTGGCCTAAGCTCAAAAAAGAAGCGGACCGGGCTGATGACAATTAATATCCTTATTCGAAGACCCCAGCGTCGTCTTTGGAGGTGAAGAGGCTCGGCCATCCACGGAGTCCTGGTCGAGAGTCGGGAGAGTGGACCAAGGTGAGTCGTGGTGGGTGATGCTGGAGAGGCGATAAAATCGCAAGAGCGAGAACGTACCGTAGCTATCTCGCCATTTACCGGCGCCGTCATACCACATGGGTGTACACCATCGACTCTTTATTCTTCCTTCTTTCTCGAGCCTTGCGCTTCTTCGCTTCTTTCCGTCCTTCTTGCTCCTTTCACTGTTTCTTCGTCTCCTTCGTTTCGTCTTGGTACTGCTCGTACGAGCATCTTCTTTCTGGCCTTCTTCGTCTCTCTCGTTCTCTGTATATTGTCCTGCCTCTCTCTCTCTCTCTCTCTCGCCCAACGTAGCCGCCGCTCGAACCTTGGCGAGAGAAAATTAATACTCCGAGAGTACGCGGCCATAAAGCTTCCCTGCGACGCGGTAATTACGTAGAACGCGCATTATACCCACCCTACAATATGATACTTCATACACGCCGGTGCTTTACGAGCTTCTGCTTGTAATAACAAAGCTCCACGACCGATGACAACTTAAAAACATCCCAATGATAAAGTTTCTAGTGTTTCCACGGGTAAGTGCAGTTCTGCAAAAGAGATTCCATTGCCACCCCCGCTCGCGCTAGGCCAACCGACTATCGTTATGACGTACATTAATCTCCGGTAAATTACCGGCTTGCTGCTCCCAGCTAAGAAGCGCAGCTAGCAAATGACCAGTCTACCTGCGGTTGGACGTTTTGTCTCCTTCCGTCGCTGGATACTTTTCTACGATCCTTTGGACAATTAATAATACTTATACAGGTACCCTTGTACAGTCCTAGCCGGGTACGGAGGATTTCTATTGGGTAATAAAAGTATATTGATTTCAGTAAATGTGAAAAAAGGACGAATGCCTGAATTCCGAATGGTTGTTTATATTCTTGTATTAAAAAATATATATAAAGATTTAAATTCCCCACGAGAGTGTAATAACGTATTGATCGTGCCGATCTTTCATGTAACGCAGGATGGCCGAGGAAAGTACCTCGGCGTTCTTACGTTGCAAAGAATAAAGAACCGCGTGGTGAGTCCGAGTAGATGAATTATGTTAAACGCCTGTTTAAATACATGTACGGCCTAGGGATACATCGGAGAGTCAGAGCGGTACCGCGTACCATTCGTCATTTCGATTTATATTAAATCGGCCTGCGAATGACCCGACAAACCAGAGTTCCAGCTTAGAGATCGACCTCCCCTTTATGGTCACCTTTTTTGACTTCTCTCTATCCAGCACCGCCATGGGATTTAAAATCTCGAGATTGAAATATCGGGCAGCAGCATTATCAAGGGTAAATCCCTTGTTAAGCGGTTATGTCCAAGCTGGTGTCTCTGTATTGGACCCACTGGGTCCCTTTGGACTGAAAAATTTATCCCAATGTATTTTGATCATATATTTGTAATTTCTTTTTTTTTAATTTTCACTCTTCCTCTTATTCAACTACAGCCGTCGTATCTACGTGTACGATGTACCACGTGGAGAGGACCACGTGGCGATATCGATTCCCGTGCAAATAGACGATAAACATTAATTGGAATCGGAGGGTACGAAACAAATGAACGTTTTGCCACCGGTGGCGAAACGACACGAGCCACGCACAGTGAGTCCACTGCGAGAGAGCACCATGAGAAATAAATACACGCAGAGAGAGAGAGAGAGAGAGAGAGAGAGAGAGAGAGAGAGAGAGAGAGGTGAGCGTAGTCAGGCAGAACGGTACGGCGGCACAGCCAGTGATTTATACAGAATCATATCTCCATCTTGAATGTCTTCATTTTTAACGCATGGCTGACCAACCGCCCCCTCTCGCTCTTGGCAACAGCCACTTTCGGCTACTTGGACTCGCACTTACTGTTCACTGCCAATTTTGCTTTTGCTACAGCTTTCCCTCTCGTAAAATTTGTCCCTCTTAGCAAAAAATTCATTAAAAGAACTTTCCGAAATTTCAAAACTTTTTCCACCCCCACCGTCTCTCGAAGACATCCTCCCGTAGCCGTAAATGCAAAGGAGGCCTCCAAGGTCCACGGGATACCTTAATGCACGTTCCCGTGCTCCACGATGAATTTTGCACGGTTTCCATAAGCGATTATTACCCCAGTGGTACACGAGCAGTGATTTCTTGATCATAAATTACACAGTTCCCGTCCGATTCATGAATTCCACACTGGCCGTCGTACCAGGAATTAATTTTAAACCGTAAGAATATACTCTGTCTCCCTCGCGATACCAGTCATACGATTCACCATCCTCGGTCGAAACTTCTCTATAGGATCCATGCCCGATAGTCTACCTACTGGAGATCGGTATTAAGGAACGTATGACCTTAATGAAGACGATGATGAGGATGATGATCGGTGCTACCCCACGTGGGTGCCACGCTACCAGGAAACCCCTAAAGATTAAAATCCTCGAGGGCCGTGTTCATCCACCTCTGTATTATGTCTCAAGTAGTCTCGTACCTACGTAGCCAACAATGCACCAGCAAAGCGGACGCGTGACGACTTCTCTTGAACAATGACCAGCGACTCTTGACTCCCGATCTTCGTCGTTCTTGCCGATCCTCGTACGGCAACAGTCATCAGCAGCAACGATAACCATTATGCGGGACGAGAGGACTCTTCTTCGTAGCAGAATATACCAACCGGTCGCTTCCGAATCCACGTACGTCACCTTAACGTCAAGTCAATTCCCACAGTCTATACCTGTGCATGGTATAATCGTACGTGCAACTTTTATACCGATGTAATAGCCATGCGCGCTATCTCTACCGATGGCGACGTCGCGACGCTCAATATGCCAGAAATAGCTGGCAAGGTGCATAAGGGCGTTGACTGGTCGCGCGGCAGTTTTGCTTTACGAGGCATCTGAGTGACATTTAGTACCAGTCGGCGTACTTTGCTGCCCTTGACAGCGATCCTGGACATTGGATTTTATACAGCTGGTAGATAGATACCTCGGTACAGGGTAGGTATGCCTAGAGATCCTACCAACCGGTCGCTTCCGAATCCACGTACGTCACCTTAACGTCAAGTCAATTCCCACAGTCTATACCTGTGCATGGTATAATCGTACGTGCAACTTTTATACCGATGTAATAGCCATGCGCGCTATCTCTACCGATGGCGACGTCGCGACGCTCAATATGCCAGAAATAGCTGGCAAGGTGCATAAGGGCGTTGACTGGTCGCGCGGCAGTTTTGCTTTACGAGGCATCTGAGTGACATTTAGTACCAGTCGGCGTACTTTGCTGCCCTTGACAGCGATCCTGGACATTGGATTTTATACAGCTGGTAGATAGATACCTCGGTACAGGGTAGGTATGCCTAGAGATCCTTCAAATATTTATATATATATATATATATATATATACGTATATGCTGAGATTGGAAATAATTCTATGTTATTTCTCGGTACCATAGAACGTAAATTTGAAAAATTATCCTGTATTCTCACACTGGGATCCTGCGCAGTTTTGCTTCCGACTATCCCCATTGCGTATGCTGTACGGGACGTTTATTAAGAACGATTAAGCTTTATTTATTTAGCAATTAGAAAGCAGCGTGAATACGCTCACGTGTCCTTCTCGTGTCTTATTATGCGCGTCCACACCGAGAGACCCTTTGCTTCTAATGTAACCTAGCGATTGCACTTGCGATAGTGTGTATTACCCCGAGTAAAACTACACTTTACTTACGATTATTTCGCCCTGCGGTTCTCTACCGTCGAGCTTCGGATCGACGAGGCTTCTAGTTTCCACTGGTAATTAATTAACGGATGGATACTTACCGTCCTTTCCGGGAATTATGAACAACCTCGTTATACAGGTGACTTGATTTTAACTCGTGCCCATAAGTACGTATGGTGATTCATATTAATTCTTGTTATAGGGATTTCAGTGCTTTCCTTATGGGAATCTATAGACACGAAGAGCAATGTAATCCAGTGACTTGGTACTGTGTTCATATGTGAATATGTATATATGTATATACGAGTGACGATAGGTACCCATGTGTTACCATTGGCCCTAGGGTATTTACTGGGAATATGCTGGGATTTCAAACAGTTTTGTGTAATTCAACCGTGAGACTTTACCTATTCAATTTTTTATTTTTGTTATTATTATCAAGGGATAATGTATGTCTCATTAAATTATTGATAAAGCTTATACAGAGACTTTTAAATGGTTTGGGATGTCCCTGTTTAATGGATGGAGATCTTCTGGTATGATTTGTGGTATACTAAAGAGAAAAGATAAGGGAAATAGAATAAATGGTGACGTCCCCATTCATTTGATTTCTAGTCACTTTGATCCTTTTTCATGGTTCCATCGGCCGTAAAATAATGTCAGAAAATAAAAAATCGAGAGATCATCCCAGTCGAGATGCTGTGGCATTCAGGATGCAGAGGCCCGGTAAACTTTGAGGGACGGTGAATCGTCGAAAGATCGTTGAGAGATCGACAACAGGACAGCAAGGAATTAAGCCGATTCCGTCCGGGTCCTTTGTAAGGATTCTGGCTACGATTACCGAGCTAAGGATCAAACAGGACCCCGATTTCATGGTATAACCGTGCAATAGGTTAAGGGAATTCTTTTCCCTTTTCTTTTTTAAATTTCAAGTCGGTAATCTCATGTAGAATACCGACCGAGGATGCGAACGAGTCACGGTTCTCAACGAGTTTAGATGTGAGTTGCGTTTGGAAAGAAATTTGCATTTAATATATATATATATATATATATAGCTGAGAGAACAATTGAAAAGTCTGTGTAAATGGTAGACGATGCCACGAAGTGCGTTTCTGATCTTGAGACTCCAGCGTATTCACCTACCTCGTGACCATACGAAAGATAACTCATAAAGCCGGTTGTTTATTTTATTGGGTGCCTTTAGCCGTGCCGCCATACTTGGGAGAACCCTCGACTCTTGGACTAAGAGTAACGACATTTTCGAAATATCATTGTTTTACTGCGCGCGTAAAATTGACTTGACTCGACTCGAATCTCGCAAGGACTTTAACGACCCGTCCCGACTAGGACGAGCACCTTGCTAGCCATTCAGAATCCTTGGAATCTCAGCAACAACGAGAGTCGCTCTTAGGGGACTTTGTAGCGAAACAACGTGACTGTGGGATACGGTGGAATGAAAAGGGAGAGAAAAAATAAAA